AACAAGGCAGCTAATTTGGGTTCCGCAATTTACCACAAAATCGTGCAATAAATAACTGATTTTATTTGGGGTGAGTGTTGGCCTAGTGTAACATTGGAGCATTAGACACAAATGATACGGGACCTACTGAGTAGAGGGTGGAGGAGGGGGAGGAATGAAATGACCAGAGACAGATATTTAGGATGCGTTTGAAGACAGATAGTGGTACTACTGTTTGAGGGTGAGTGTTCCAGAAGGTGACAGTGTCGGAGGTTGAACCAGATACTGGCACCGGCGAATGAGAACGTGCGGTAGACCTGGATTTGCTGAGCAGAGGAGTGAGCAGAAGAGTGAGGCTGGAGAAGGTTACAGAAGTAGGGAGGTGCCATGGCTTGAAGAGATTTTTAAGTGAGAGTGAGGATCTTGAGCTAGTGGAGCGTGATGAGGATGGGAATGATGTGATTACAAAGCTTCATGTATCTGAGGCTGCAGGGATTGGAGTTTGGGATTAGCTGTTATGTGTGAATATTGTAGATGAGAAGATCGCGAGGAGAGCATTTATAATCTCCAGGCAGGAAGTGACCCATACATGAATAGAGTTTGCGCAGCATTAGGCGATATAATGCAATACAAATTTGCATATTTACAGCATCTTTCATAGTGGGAGGACATCCAGTAGTAAGTCATTCTTGAACGAGGTAAGGAGGGAATGATGCGGTGATGATTCCACCAAGTCTTTGCCAGGCAGTGCATTCCAGACAGTAACAATTCTCCTTGTCTCCACTCTGGGTCTTTTTCTAATCTTAAATCTGTGTCCTCTGGTTATTGTCATAGTGAAATGAAAATTATATGTCTCTGCACTTCCTCTTCTGTTACTCCTTTAATGTCTCTCGAGATTACTTTAGATTTGTTCATATTATTAGCACGTTTGTTGCAGCAGAAATGTGAAGCATTTAGGTATTAGTATTATCTATATTAGATGGCTGATATAAAACAGAATTAACAACACTCAGAGATATCCATACAATGGGCATGTGTAATGTGCAGTGCTGGAAAATTGGGAGACCGGAGACAATATAGAACACAATTTAATACATTGCTAACTATAACTTTATTTCACTGTTCCTGTGGGAGGACAATAACAACATTTTGCATTTGACACCGAGCGCGAAAGAATATGTAGGTCGAAGGCATGGTTGAAAAAGAAAGACCTCAGGTGCGATATGAAGTTGGACACAGAGGAACTGGGGCAGATAAATGTGTGACATAATTGTCTGAATGAGGAACCGAAAGTCAATTAGATTTCAGAATAAGACACATAGTACCACTTGGTTGTAAATCAATTCAAGATTTAGTTAAGATTCTCATTATCGATTCTGATGTCCATCACTTTATTTTTTAGAGTTAATTTGTGCACGCTGATACCTTCACTTTAATAATAATAATAATCCTTGCGTTTGATATAGCGCTTTTCACGTCGGGAGGACGTCCCAAAGCGCTTCACAGAACACACTGTAAAGTGAATTGACTATATTTGTGGGCCAACGCGGCAGCCAATTGCGCACCTCAGCGTCCCACAAACAGTCGTAGATTGGGTGACCAAATTATTTTTTATTTTATTTTATGTATATATTGCTACTGAGATGTTGCAGTTTCAGCGATAGTATTCTATAGGTAGAGGTGGAGTGCTCAATATCTGAACACAGGATAATGTAGTCTAAATTAAAATTCTTTTCAGCTTACACCCAGTAAACAAGGCATATATTCGCACAATCTCTTTCGGAAGAGGAGAGGTTGGCATAAATGTTATGCTTTATCGGATTCAAAACAAAACTTTGATCTGTTAGGTTGTAACTCCAACCGAGAAACATACAAAACTCAATATTTATATTGTTTTCTTGGATATTAATCTTATTCTGATCCGAGGGGAAATATTGATTAGTCTTATAATAATAACCCTTGCATTTGATACAGTGTCTTATCACTTCCTGTGGAGAGTCACTATGTCTCAAGTCCCTATTGGTTTTGTCACGAACATTCTACCCAACATTTAGTAAAAATGAAGCAAAATAATGAAAGCAAATGCAAAATACTGCAGATGCTGGAAATCTGAAACAAAAACAGAAGTCGCTGGGAACACTCAGCAGGTCAGGCAGCATCTATGGAGAAAGGAAAGTGAGTCGATGTTTTGGGTTCCACGACCCTTTGTCAGAACTGGGGCACGTTGGGTGGGAGAGGCTTTTAAGGGCTAACAGAGAGGGGGAGGCAGGGCAAGTACGACAAAGGAGAAAATGGTGTAGAGGTCAGGGGATGATGGGTTACAGATGTGTTAATGATGCAAAACAATGGGGGAAAAATTGCAACCAAATAGACCGACCAGAGAGAGAGAGAAAAGGTTTGGTGGGGACCCAGATGATGTGGGAAGAGGGGGGGGGGGGAAAGTGAGCAGTTATGGTCTGAAATTGTTGAAATCAATATTGAGGTAAGGTCCCTAGCAGATAAATGAGATGCTGTTCCTCGAGCTTGGGCTGTGGCTCATTGGAACAGTGTAGGAGACCATGGATGGAGAGGTCAGAGTGCGAGTGGGAGGGAGAGTTGAAGTGGCAAGAAAGCGGACAAATATTCACTTTACGGTATGTGGCAAAAAGCACACACTGTAAAGTGAATTGACTGCAAAGTTTGCAAGCGAAATGCGACAACCAATTGCGCACAGCAGTGTCCCGCAAACAGTCGTGGATTGAGTGACCAAATTACAAGAACAACAAAATTACATTTGTATAGCGCCTTTCACTTCAGGATAATGTCCCAATAATTATTATTATTTTTCTAAAGAATTATTACCCCCAGAAATGCGATCGGCCAATTGACTAACAACCAGGTCCTACTTACTGCTAGGTAAACAGAGACATGTGGAGCAAGGAAACTTGCCCAAAGTTTCACCATGCCCGGGAATCAAACCCAGATCCTCTCGCTTGCGAGTCGAATGTTCCAGCCGCTAAGCTACAGGACTCCACATAATGTGTAATAAATAATTTGTAACTTGTGAGAGTCAACTTGGAAATATTTTTCGAATGTGTCAGACGAGCATCTATTCTGTAGTCACTGTTTCACGTCTTAACCCAGAAAAGTTCCAATGCACAATGTTCCAGATTTGTTTTACTGTACTACAATGTAACAACTGGGGTAAGGTTAGAACTACTTATTAAGAATTCTCTTTAAGACAACTTTCATACTCTTTAATATGCTTTAAGCTTTAATATTCCTACAATGGACAACAATTTGGATTTAGCAAATCGGAGCACTTAACAGTGCCGAGCTTGATGCTGTGCTGGGGCGAGAGGGGAGGTGACCATAAATACGATTCAGTTGTGATTTGGGAGTTATTTGGGGTCTCCTTTTGTCTAATTGGCTCCAAAATGACAAGGAAATGTTAGAAACCTGAAGGATATCCCCTCCTGAGATGCAGATCTGCAGCACTCCCAAAAACAATACGATGAGCCAGCAAAAGCCAACACTCTGCCTGAGAGTATTCAAACCAGCTTGAGATTTCTACATCTGCCTCCTACATCTGGGCATTCCAGCATCAAATTCTCTCCCTGGAAGGACACCTGCTACCCTAATTTCAGATGATTAGATGTCGGTTGGCAAGTGCCAAGGCATGGGGACCCCAGACTGTTTACTGGATACTGTTGGAGTCTAACCAGCTAAAACCGTACAGTTTGCTATTAAAATCATTGTCTGGTCCACTCCTGCTGCTTGTTCAGCTAGGACCATCCCACCTGTTAGGGCTTTGGCTTGCAGGGTTAAATGAAGCTGGTTGGGAAGAGTTCCTGCCCATAGTGACTGATCTGCCCTTCCAGGTCCTGCCGATGAGCCAAGCTGGACTGTGCTGTCATCAGCAGTGCCCTGGAATACTGCGGACCTGTCTGGCTCAGGAACCGGACTAGAGACTGTCACATTGGGTGGGGAATTAGATTTCCACGTTCTGTGTAGTTCAGTGGTTAGAGAATTCACCTAACAAGCGAAAGACTTGGGTTCAATTCCCGGCAGGGTGAAATGTTAGACAAGTTTCCTCACTCCACTCGCCTCTGCTTACCTAGCAGTAGGAACCCAGTTGTTAGTTGATTGGCAGATCGCTTTTATGAGGGTAATAATTCCTTCAAAAATAATAATAATCATAATAATAATTTGGTCACTTCAATCCATGACTGTTCGTGGGACGCTGCTGTGGGCAATTGGCTGCCGCATTTCGGCCACAAAATATACAGTCAATTCACTTCACCGTATATTCTGCAATATTAAATGCAAGGATTATTATAAAAACATCAACTTGGAGCCAATTCAGCCCCAAGGAGTCCTGCATACCTCCGCCCTGGGGGCACTGCAAGGCAACCTCTGATAAATCAACTAACCTGATTGGTCAGCAGAACGTGAGGGGCGAATTGGGGGCAAGGATTCTTCCCACAGTAAAAAATAACAGTATGCATAATAATAATAATCCTTGCACTTAATATACCACCTCTACAGATTGTTGAGATGTCTCAAAGCCGGTGATCGCTGAGTGGATGGGTTTATATGGTTTGAGGAGGTCCCAGAGCTGCATGATCATGGAAGGATTTAAAAGTGAGGACTAGGATCTTGAACTTGATCCTCTGGGGAGCCAGTGGAGGATGGGGGTGATAGGCTCACAGAGCCCAGTGTGGGACCTTAGACCTACAGAACTATTGAGATTTAAAGGCAGAAGTCCATGTGACCCATGTTGGTGCTGGCTCTTTAAAAGAGCCACTCATACAGACCCCTTCACCCCCATTTACCCGCAATCAACACCTCGTACTTTAACATGTAATTATGAAGCACAAAATGTGCTTTAATGGCTTTGAACATTTCATCCTGGCCGTGTGCAGGACATTAAAACAACTCTATCATACCATTCATACTCTCGCGGTGTCCAAATAGCAGAGGAGAATTTCTGTGGGATTTTAAGCAATAAAACCCCCAAGTTTCAGGTCATACTTTCTGCGCTTCTTGTCACAGTGCAGAGCATCTGATCCACACTGAATAGAAAAGAATATCACTGTGGGAACTTTGAAGGATTGATGTAAGTTTTAATTTTTTGGGGGAAAAAAATTACTTTGAAAAACTGAAACACTGAAAGACTTCCTCATTGGTAAATTCACATTGAGTTATTTTTTTCCAGTAAATATGTACTTCTTTTAAAGATGATTTTTCCCAATTTTCCTAAATGGCTGTTTTTGTGATGTTATAATAATATAATAATAATAATAATCCTTGCATTTGATATAGCGCTTTTCACGTCGGGAGGACGTCCCAAAGCGCTTCACAGAACACACTGTAAAGTGAATTGACTGTATATTTGTGGCGACGCGGCAGCCATTGCGCACAGCATGTCCCACAACAGCCGTAGATTGAAAATGACATTTATTATTGTTTTTTTTTGGAGGATTATTATTAGGCGTGTGGAGTAAGGAAACTTGCCCAAGGTTTCGCCCTGCCTGGAATTGAACTCAGGTCTCTCACTTGCAAAGCGAGTGCTCTAATCACTGAGCTACAGGACTCCAATGTTAGCTTTATAGTTTGTATTGGCTGCATGCGGTTTCTGTAATTTATGTCTTGTTCCAGGTTCAGGCTGTTGTTAAACACATTGGTGAATTATAGATAAGTACAGTATTTGCTTTATTTTATTATCAGCAATAACAATGCCAACTTGTGTTTTTAAAGACGTTTAACCTAAAACCCCAAAAAGGAAAATACTGCAGATGCTGGAAATGTGAAATGAAAACAGACGTTGATGGATCATTGACCTGAAACATTAACTCACTTTCTTCTCTCTCCATAGATACTGTCTGACCTGCTGTGTGTTCCCAGCAACTTCTGTTTTTAACCTAAAATCATGTTTTCTCAGGATTAGTTAGGGATTCCACCTGAAGACCAGAGAGAACAATGAGTGCACATCCTGAAGAGGTCTCCAGCGATGATGATTTGGTTTCAGATGTTACCTTTTCCGTAAATCGCTATCATTTCGGTGGGTTTGCTTTAAAGATCAAAGAAAACACCGAAAGTTACGTGGGGTCGCATGTCTGGAAGGCAGTAAGTTCTGGTCGAAAAAATCATTGATTTAAGCTCTCTTTAATGATATCAAAATAGTTCTCGTTTCAAACCATTCTCTTTAGCATTAAATGTGTCATTGGTCTTTCCTCACAAAATAGTGGCGATTCCTTGATGGGCATTGACAACACAGTGCTCATCTTTGCTTTCCTCGGGAACTGTTGTGTTGCTCTTTTCTGTAGCTTCTTCCGAATAAATCTATGCCATGGTTTTCAGGGTATTGTTCTCTGCGAGTACTTTGAGAAGGAGAAGATATCTTTCGCTGGGAAGAAGGTGATTGAGCTGGGCTCGGGCACTGGCATTGTGGGCATTTTAGCCGTTCTCCTCGGTGAGTTGTGAGGTTTCAATCAATATTATACCACAGAGATGTGTGAGAGAAATATCAAATGCAAAGATTATGATTATTATAATTATAAATCCCTTCGTTCCCTTGCTCCCCTATCTGTTCAATCTCTTCCCCCAACTTCTTGAACCTACAGTTTCCTCCCCTTCCCTCATTTCCCCGCTTGATATCAAAACCAGCCATTGCAGAGTTCTCCAAATCCTACTCTATATGAGGGGCTCAGGCACAGTTTCCTGCCCCAAACATTGCGCTATATTAATAATACTAATAATCCATGCATTTGATAAAGCGCCTTATCACAACTTTGAGATGTCTCAAAGCACTTCACAGAATATACTGTAAAGTGAGTTGACTGTATATTTTGTGGGTGAATCGCAGCAGCCAATTGCGCACAGCAGCGTCCCACACACATTCGTGGATTGAATGATCACATTTTTATTTATTTTTTTGACGGGATTATTACCCCTGGAAAAGGGATCAGCCAATCGACTAACAACCAGGTTCCTATTTACTGTTAGGTAAACAGAGGTGTGTGAAGTAAGGAAATTTGCCCAATGTTTAGCTCTGCCCGGGAATCAAACTCAGGTCCTCTCACTTGCGAGGCAATGCAGCACTATGTGTTGATAAAAAGGATTGGCCAAGAATAACTAAAGGTCCTTAGCCAATTTCTGTGGCCAATAGGTTCCATGGTGACATTTTCTGAATGGTCATTTCATGCTCATCTGCTTCATACTTGAGCCTATGTCTGGCAGAGATGAGTTCTGGCTGGGAATTAATACTTTACCATTTTCCCTGAGTTAATCCTAGCTTTTTGGTTTGCTTCCTGTCTTCATGGTGATTTACCAACACATCTAGTGGATCCTCTTCTGATCGTTCCCAGGAGCAGAATCAGATTATTGTTCAGTGGAAAAAAATATCATAAGAACATAAGAAATAGGAGCAGGAGTAGGCCATTCAGCCCCTCGAGCCTGCCCCGCCATTTAATAAGGTCATGGCTGATCTTCTAACCTAATTCCATTTACCCGCCCTATCCCCATATCCCTTAATCCCTTTAGTTTTAAAAAATCTATCAATTTCAGTCTTGAATATCCATAGATTCATCTAGGGTACAGCTGCGAAACAGCCATTTGGACCATCCAGTCAGCTGGTATTTGTACCAGTGGAGTGTTTGTGGAGTCCTGTAGTGTATTGGTTAGAGCACTCATCTCCCAAGCAAGAGGACCCAGGTTCGATTCCCATGCGGGGCAAAACCTTAGGCAAGTCCTTCCACACGCCTCTGTTTACCGAGCAGTAAGTAGGGACCTAGTTGTTAGTCAATTGGCAGATCGCTTTCTGGGGATAATTATGCCTTAAAAAATTGTGGTCACTCAATCCACAACTGGGTCTGTACGCAATCGGCTGCCGCATTTTGCCCATAAAATATACAGTCCATTCACTGTAACACGTCTAGAAGACATGAAAAGCACTATATCAAATGCAACTTTTATTAACAGTATGTTCTGTGAAGTGCTTAGATATGTCTCAATGATGTGATAAAGCACTGTATCAAATACAAGGATTATTTTTATTACATTTATATACTGAGGAAGAGAGTTCCATAGTGTCGGGGTGTAATGGCTGAACGCCTGGCTGCCCATGGTTGGAATGGAGGGAATGAGGGACAAGCAGGAGGTTGGAGTCAGCTGAGCGGAGGCGGCTGGTGGGTGGTGGAGTGGGTGTCAGCAGGCACATTACGACACCAGGAAAGGAAAAGGAGTTTCTCCTTGAATCCTGGACAAGGATTATTTGGATCCCCCAAATAATATTGACCATTCAGTTAATTTGTGACACCTTGCTCTGCAAATTGGCTGTCACATTTGCCTGCAGTGCTTGGGAAATATAAAGTCAATTCACTTTACAATATATTCTGTGAATTGCTTTGAGACCTCTCCACGATACGATAAGGCGCTATATCAAATGCAATGATTATTATTGTACTCCACATGAGTGCCCATCCTATGCCTAGTCCCATATTCCATCCCTTTCCCCATATCCCTGAACTTTATTCTCTCTCAACCATGTGTCCAGTCTTTTTTTGAATGTGCACTTGGTTGCTGGATGTTGTCTTTTTCTATTTCCTAGGTGGAGATGTGACCTTCACAGATAAGAGTTTCATTTTGAAACGAACAAAACAGAACATTTCTGCCAATCTCCCTCCTTCCTGCAAAAAACGTACAAAAGTCTGTGTTCTTTCCTGGGGTGATGATCAGAAAAATTTTCCTTCAAACTATGATGTGATCCTAGGCGCAGATATTGTGTACTGTAGGTCTGCCTATCCCTTTCTATTACAGACCCTCAAACATCTCAGCAATGAAATGACCACAATTTACATTTCTTCAGAAATGAGACCGAATCTTGTGTCCAGTATCTTCCACGAAAAGCAATTACCTCCACAATTTAACTATGAGATTGTGCACAGAAAGGAAAGTGAGAATATTGTAGTGTACAAATTAACCAAAAAATGAGCAGGTTCTTTACATATTATTAATATTTTTATCAGGATGGACGAAGTTGTTTGACATATAACATGGCTTGTAGCCTTCTCCTACTAAGACACCTTAATATCTCACCTCATCAAAGTTGATTTGTAAAATCTTTTCTCTGTTTTATTGGGCTTTACTCCTATCATCTGCTGTTCTCTCAACCTTTTCAATGCCTCTTCTACACACCTTGAGTTTGTATTGTGTCTTTGATTGCAGATGTGAAACTGCATAGTTGGAAGATCCCATTGCAGTACCTGAAGCAGAGGTTAGAAAAATTGTGCATGTGCCCACATAACATACAAGTTATTAGGCAGAAAACAGTCAAAAGTGTTTAAAAAATGAAATGGTGAAAAGTCATAAATCACTAAACCCAATCAGTCTGTCATCTGATAGGAGTGGTCCATTATGTGGACAGGGTCTCAATTAGATTTTAGACTTATTGTTCAAACCAGGTACTTGTTTTGTTGAGGATAATAATCCCTCCCCCAAAAATGTGGTCACCCAATCTACGACTATTTGTGGTACACTGCAGGGCGCTATATCAAATACAAGAATTAATATTATTATGCTAACTCTCAAAGTTAACATCAGTAAACTCTTAGTGCACTAAGTCAGTTCATCCTTACACTCTAGGGTCCCTAGACCTTGACTCTTGCCAGCCTATGCTTAGTACCATATGGAATTAGGTAAGAAGAATACATCTCTCCAGGGAGCGAGTGCCTATTCCATTCCAGACACAGTAATCTCCATGTGTAGGTGGGATGCATAGAAGCCTCAGTCTAGTTTGGATACGTGTAAACATGGTGATGTGTTTCTGTATGTGTTGGACACCCGCTTGACCAAGAATTAGCTGATGTATTTTTATTTTGAAATGTTTAAAGTTTAATAATACTTAAATTCTGCTTCTGCTGTTATGAAATCTAATAGATAAATGAATTTAATAAAGCAATCCATCAATCAACTAACAACCAGGTTCCTACTTATTGCTAAGTAAGAGTGTGACGGGGAGGTGGGGAGAGGCAGCTGTGCAGAACCCCTCGATTTTGGACTCGATGAGGTCCAGCATCTCCTCGCAGTTGGAGATGGAGGAAAGGATGGGTGAGGCGTGAAAGGGTGGGCAAAGGAGTCGGTTTGTGATGGAGGAGAGAAGCCCGAGGTTTAGTGCCCCCATTTTACATGAAAATTCCAAGCACCTTCAAGAAGCTAATCCTGCACTGACAGCAAAACTAAACCTGACAATTATAGAGCTATCAGCCTAACCTCAATCACTGGAAAATGATGGTGACAATCATCAGAAATGAAGTGGAAGATTATCGATATAGAATAATCTAATAATTGCCAGCCAACATGGGTTCAGAAACAGTAAGTCTTTTCCGATCAATTTCATTGAGATTTTTTGAGGAAAGCCCAAATTGACTATGGGAAGCCATATGATACAGTCTATCTAGACTTCCAGAAGTTTGCCTAAGACTATCCAGAGCAAGACATGGATGTGGATTCAGAAATGGCTGAAGTGAAGGAAAGAGAGGGTCTTTGTTAGAGTAGCAAAGACACAACAGGGAGAGGTATTAAGGATCCATACTGGGACCCCCAATTCCTCGTATGTATTAATGACTTGGATTCCTAGATCCAGGGTAAGACAGTTTCATTTACAACTGACATCAAGTTGGGGCAAATGGAATAAGAAGAAGCAGAAAAGGTCCTACAAAGAGGGTTTGATAGGGTAGCATATGGGCTGAGAACTGGCAAATGAAGGTTAATGCAGATAAATGCTCGGTACTGTCATGGAGCTGTTATTTATACCCAATCTCCCAATGACTAAAGTGTTTTTTCGAGTCACGGTGAGAAAACCAGAATTCTTTATATTAATAAAACAATTCAAAAATATTTCAATCAAACTATTTATTGGCGACAAGCGCACAAATGACGACATCCCAAAACACATGTTGAGCCGGGTGGGCAAGTTGATCAACTTCTTATAAGAAATCCATCCAAGGTACAGCTGCACCCACCTGGATCAAACACCCAGCGTTTATTCCTTTGGTCACGTGCTCTGCCATTCAAAAAGCGTGGAAATAATTGAGACAGTGAGGTCCATGGAGACAAGATAGCAATATTCTTACCTCCTATGGGGTGGGGGGGCCCTGACCAGGGTCTGCCATTGGAGAGACCCCAGACCCCACCTACACCTCCAGTGTAGAGTGCCACCCAAAACATTCCCCTGAGCCATGACATCACCACTCGGCAAACTCATGGCCTCACAACCGAGAGTGTGCGAGTGGTGGCCGACCGCACAGAGCAAGTGAGAGAGAACGGCAGCCCTCAAGACCTCCTGGGCCTGACCTTCACCTGGGCACATCTGCTGCTGGCCCAACAGGAGCATGAAGAACACTGGCTGAGCCAGCCTCCCCAGGGCTCGATTCCCACTGTCACAAGACGACATATAGCAACCAAGAATTGGAAACACAAGCACTCCATAAATGGGATTGAACTTGCCAACAGGAAACCTAGACATCTAGCAGTGTTAGCTGACTCTTTGCTCACTTTGTCAAACAGTGTGAAGCAGCAATGAACAAGGCAACTGGATGCCAGACTATATTTCTAATTCAATTGAGTTCAGTTGTGGAGTCCTGTAGCTCAGTGATTAGAGCACTCGCCTCGCAAGCGAGAGACCTGGGTTTGATTCCCGGCAGGGTGAAATGTTGGAAGATTCCTTACTCCACATGCCTCTGTTTTTCTAGCAGTAAGTAGGAACCCAGTTGTGAGTCGATTGGCGGATCGCTTATCCAAGGGTAATAATTCCTTAAAAAATTTATAATAATAATTTGATCACACAATCCATGACTGTTTGTGGGACTTTGCTGTGTGCAATTGGCTGCGCATTTTGCCCACAAAATATAGTCAATTCACTTTACAGGGTATTCTGTGAAGCGCTTTGAGACAACCTCAAAGACGTGATAAGGTCCTATATCAATAGCAAGGATTATTATTGTTAGTTTCCCAGATGTCATTCTCAGGCTGTACATTGCTCTGGTCACGCCACAACTTGAATACTGCAGACAGTTCTGGTCACTGGAACTCTTTCCAGGGGCGATAGGAGATGGAGGTCGGTTGGGTGGCAGTGGGGAGAGGGATTGAGGAGTTAAGGGAGTTGAAGTAATGGCCCAAAATGGCTTCATTGGTGTTAGTGAGGCACTGGGTGAATGTAGATGACACCCAACTCTATCTCTTTATGCCCTTACCCTTGGCACCAGGACCATGGCTGTTCTGATTGTCTACCCGTCAGACATCAAGCTCTGGGTGAGCTGTTACTCACTTGGGAAAAACAGCTATTTCTCCTCATCTCCTGAGAGGGCCTGTTCACCTCAGGGTAAGACATTAAACCAGGATCACATGGGGTTATTGGAAACAGCATACAACACAGTTCAAAGCAATACTGACAATGCAATACCTTTATTCCATTCACACCATATAAATAGTTGAGTGATATGATTGGGCGAGTCAGGAAGATATCATCAATTTCAAGGTTTAAGAATAATAAAAGCACCTGAGTACAAATATCTTCAAAGAGAAATATCTTCAAATTAGTAGAACAGAGCTTGAACTTCACATTATACACAGGTAATAATGGGTTTAACAGAAAGCAGGTATTGTACACCCTCAAGCTGGATTTAATGTTGCCCCCAGGGAAAGCAGGCATGTTACATATAATAATAATCCTTGCATTTGATATAGCGTCTTATCAGGATTTCGAGACATCTCAAAGCACTTCACAGAATATACTGTAAAGTCAATTGACTGTATAGTTTGTGGGCGAAACGCGGCAGCAGGGAACCACAAACAGTTGTGGATTGAGTGACCACATTTTTTTTAATGGGATTATTACCCCCAGAAAAGCGATCCCCCAATCGACGAACAAGCAGGTTCCTATCTATTGCTAGGTAAACAGAGGTGTGGAGTAAGGAAACTTGCCCAACCATTCTGCCCCACCCGGGAAACAAACCCAGGTCCTCTCACTTGAGAGGCGAATGGTCTAACCACTAAGTTACAGGACTCCAAACAAGAGAAGCTTTGACTAAACAAGAGAAGCTGTGAATGTCCTTTCATGAAGGATTAGATCAAACATTAGATGCCTTGGGACATTCTCCCGACAGGATAGGCGCTGCATAAATGTGAATTTGTATTGTATTCTATTGAGACTGAATGAGTGTCTTATGAGTCATGTTAAATGACGAAAACAATTCTCTTCCTCAACACCAGCTACTGATCTTCATCACTTTGACCTTTTTTAGTTATTTTGTACACATTGATGCCTTCACTGCCCTTTTTATGGACAACCTGACAGTTGAAATGTTGAGGTAACATCTCCTCGTGGAAAACATTGTACTCATTTCTTGGCCGCAATTCTGTACAAATGTAGGCTGTGGTTCCTGGGTTGCTGAGATGTCGGAGTGTATTCAAGAGCGAGGGATAGGAGGAAGTAGCATACACGATATCCGAGCCCAGGATGATATCATAATCTGAGGGAAAACTGCTTGGATCTTCTTCCCAGTAAAGGGTAAAGACTTTTGCACGGTCTTTGCAGGAAGGAGGGACGTTGACAGAAATGTTGTGTTTTATTTGATTCAAAGCGAAAGATCTGTCTGTGAAGGTCACGTCTCCACCTGAGGAAAAGAGAAAACGCTGTATTTATGATTTTCACTGAACAATGATCTAATTCTGCCCCCAGAGAACACGAGATTAGAACCCGCACTAAACTCCGTACCTCCATTACCCCATCCTTGTCAAACTCCATTACTCCCTGTCACAGAGCGGATTGAATTCAAGATCCTCAATGCCGTATTTAAATCCCTCCATCCCCTATCTCTCCAACCTGCTCCCTCCCTGCACCATTTCCCACTGCCCCTTGACTCGCCATTGGGTTCCGCCATTGTTAGACACTCTGAGACGCCGTCCGGCATGAAGGGCATTATATAAATCCGGTAGCTGTCTCCCCAAACCTCAGAGTTTTCTCATCAGCTATTGGATGGACATCTGCCTTTACTGTGGTGGGAGGCCCTTTACAGGGCAAGTTGTGATGTGCCAGCCACCTTGGTGTTCTCGAGGTCCAAGTCCAATGCTATGCAACAGACTTACTCAACACCAGCTGCTTAATCCAGGTCATTTGCCGCAAATCCACCTCACTGTTTGATCCTGGACTTCACAAATGAACCGAAGGAAGCCTCTCCACTGTATTTCCTGGAGTTCGGAAGCATAAAGGAGGACTGTTTGCACACAGGTCTTGTATGACACAACCTTTACCTGCATTGAGACCTTGCTGTCCTTGAAGAGAGGTTATAATCATGCCAAATATGTGTAACTGGCATCCTCTACATATGCATGCGCTTTCATATCGCTCACATTTTCTCTCACATCAGTAGTAAGATATTTTTGTTGATTGAACCTCACAACTCACCAAGGAGAACTGCTAAGATGCCCACAATCCCACTGCCTGAGCCCAGCTCAATCACCTTCTTCCCAGCGAAAGATATCTTTTCTCTCTCAAAGTACTCACAGAGAACGAGAGCCTGAAAAAGACACAGACAATCACGTTATAAATGACTCATTTGGAAACAGACACAAAACACAGCACCTCGATAATCATTACATTTGACATAGCACCTTTCATGCCAAGAGGACGTCTCAAATCTTCACAGTGACTTTGTATTTTATCGGTTAACGAATTTGCATACAGCAAGGTCCTACAAACAGCCAAGGAGGGAGCGACCAATTTTATTTCAGTGATTGTAGGCCTGCACACCGAGACAAACTCCATTCTCTTTTCAAATCGTTCCATGGTATCTTTAACAACAACAAAATTACATTTGTATAGCGCCTTTCACAATGGGAGGACGTCCCAAGGCGCTGGACAGACAGAGTTACGGACCTGAGCTGAGGGTCAGGGTGGTGGAGGGGAGAGGGCGGGGGGGAAGCAAGGAGATCGAAAGCATGGTCGAAGAGGAGGGTCTTGAGGTGGCGAGGGAGGGGGCGAGATGGAGTGACTGCGGGATGTAGTTCCAGAGGGTGGGTGCAGAGTTCACTGATAGTGGGGCGAGCAAGGCGGGAGACGTGAAGCAGGCCGGAGCCCACTGAAGGCAGGTATCCACCTGAACTTCGGTTTAACCACTTCCATCAATTGGAGGTGCTGCTGCTTACCTCTCTGCAAACAATCAAGAGATGACAGCACTGCACAGCCTGGCTCATTGGCAGGATTTGGGGGACCAGCCCAGTCACTGGAGCAGGAACTGTTCCCAATCAGCTCCAAGCCAAAGCCAAGGGTGGTCCTGAAGGCACAAGCAGCAGGAACCTGGACAGATTCTCATTGGCAAGCTGTGTGGTTTTAGCTGGTTAAACTCCAACAGTTAGGTCGGGGTAACAGCCGGAGTGTAACCAGCTAAAACCAATTCAGAGGAAGAGATTGATAGGTGATGCTTTCAGGAACTCGGACTCCAGGTAAGGCATTCCAGCAGCTGTCATCCCAAGTCTTACAGATTCCTCATCACCAGGTGGATACCTGCCTTCAGCGTGGTGGGAGGATCTTTACAGGACAGCTTGTGATGTGCCGCCACTTGATGTTCTTGAGGTCCAAGTCCAATGCACCAGCATCAGTTTAATCCATGTTCATGGGGCTTGAACTGACAACCTTCTGGCTTGGAGATGAAGGTTCTACTAACTAAGCCAGGCTGACAATTAAATGTTATTTCTCTTGTACTGAAATCACTTTAACTCATTCAATATTTTTACAGAAATTCCATGAAATGTTATTTTACTTCACGTTTATTCTGAATTCACATTAAATTTTATTTCACTCAACATTTTTGTGAAGGTTTGTAAAAAGTTGTAAAGAGGCAATTTCAAGACAAGCACCAGTTTTTCTTTGCCCAGAGGGTAATTAACTACAAGAACAATAACAGCAGCAGTAAAATTACATTTATAAAGCACCTTTCATGTTGGGAAGACATCCCAAGGCGCTGGACAGGCAGAGTTATGGACCCGAGCTGGGGGTTGGGATCGGGGAGGGTGGAGGGCAGGGGGGGAAGCAGGGAGATTGAAAGCACGATCGAAGAGGAGGGTCTTGAGATGGGTCTTGAAGGAGGGAAGAGAGGGGGCGAGGCAAAGGGACTGTGGGATGGAGTTCCAGAGGGTGGGGGCAGAGTGGCGGAAGGCACACCCGCTAATAGTGGAACGAGCAAGGCAAGGGATGTGAAGCTGGCCAAGGCCCGCTGAACAGAGGGAGTGAACAAGATGGTAGCGGGTTAGGGGATCACAGAGGTAGGGGGCGCAAGACGGTGGAGGGCTTTGAAGGTGAGGACCAGGATCTTGAACTGTATCCTCTGTGTGATTGGAAGCAATGGAGTTGGGCACGGATGGGGGAGATAGGGTCGCAGCGCCTAGTGAGGGAGAGGACATGGACTTCAGAGTTCTGAATGATCTGCAGCCTGTGGAGGAAGGAGTTGGGGAGGTCGACAAGAAATGAGTTCGAATAATCGAGCTTTGCTGTAATGAAAGCATATATGGTGGTTTCAGTGGTCTGCAGAGTGAGACAGGGGCGGAGCCTGGCAATGTTGTGGAGGTGGGGGAAGGCAGAGCGGGTCATGGCGCAGATGTGGGGTAGAAAGGATAGTTGAGGGTCAAACAAGACCCCAAGGTTCCAGACTGCCTTAGTAAGGTGGAGTGTGCAACCATGGATGGTGATGCTGTCAGCGCCTGAGGTGAGGAGTCGCTGACGGGAACCAATCAAGAGAGCCTCGGTCTTGTTGACTGAAGTAAGTTGGCTCTCATCCAGGACTTGATGTCCGATAGACATTCTGTCAGGACATCAGTGGTCTTGGAGTCAAGGGTGGAGGCAGAGAGAGAGAGTTGGGTGTCTTCTGCAAACATGTGGAAGTTGACCCCACGTCTGTGGATGATGTCACCAAGAGGGAGCATATAGATATTGAACTAGTGTAATATACTAAGTATATCATGTCAAATGCTTTGGGATGTCCTCCCAATGTGAAAGGTGGTGTATCAAATGTCAGGATTATTATTTGATTACTGTCATTATTTGTATCAGAACAGTATACTTACAGATTTCCAGACATGAGCGCCCAGATAATCGGCTTTATCCAGAAAAATTGTCAAAGTGTGGCCGCAAAAGTCATATCGCTTCCAAGATCGGAAATCGCCTGAACCCATTCCATCCTGGGTTGAGACATCGCAGAAATAGCATGGCTTGTTCTCACCACTCATTCTGGTGTCTGATCTGTCTCTGCCAAGGAAGAACAACCTGTTATATCACCATCTCAGACCACTATTTCATCTCCCTTCATCCCTTTAATCCCACTCCCTGCAAACCAACCCACTTCTATCTCCTACCAACCCCTGTGGAAAAAAATATATTCCACTCCCTATCTGCCACCTTAGAATCATCCGAAGTCCTGCGTCTCTGGTCCTCCTTTCATAACAACCTTACTTGCTCAGTAACTCCTCCACAACTCCCTTTCTGCTATTCTTGACACTCTTGCCCCGTCACCTCCTGCACCGCCTTCTAACACCCACACGTCCCCCGGTATACCAGCCACCTCCCTCAAATCCCAGGTGTGTACCATTGAATACATCTGGCTCAAATCCAATCTGAAGGTCCACTGCCAGATCTAGTTGGACCGTGTCAAAATCTACTGATCTGCTCTTGCCTCAGCTAAACCTGGTCCCAATGGGATGCCGAGAGAAGTAAGGGTGGAAATAGCGGAGGCTCTGGCCACGATCTTTCAATCCTCCTTGTATATGGAAGTGGTGCCAGAGGACCGGAAGGATTCCAAATGTTACACCCCTGTTCAAAAAAGGGGAGAGGGATAAACATGGTAACTACATGCCAGTCGGCCTAACATCAGTGGTAGGGAAACTTCTAGAGACCATTATCCAAGACAAAATTAATTTTCACTTGAAAAAAACATGGGTTAATAAATGACAACCAACACAGCTGTTAAAGGCAAATTGTTAAAGACAAATTGTGTCTAACTAACTTGATTGAGTTCTTCAATAAAGTAACGGAGAAGAATGATGAAGGTAGTGCAATTGATGTTGTGTATATGGACTTTCAGAAGGTGTTTGTTAAAATCTCACATAATAGACTTGTTAGAAAAATTGAAGCCCTTGGGATTAAAGGAACAGTGGCAGCATAGATTCGAAATTGGCTGAGAGACAGAAAGCAGAGGGTAGTGGTGAATGGTTGTTTTTCAGACTGGAGAGAGGTATACAGTGGTGTCCCCCAAGGTCAGTATTAGAACCAATTTTATTTCAGGGATTGTTGGCCAAAACACCGGGAGAAACTCCATTCTCTTTTCAAATAGTGCCAAGGGATCTTTAACGTCCACCTGAACAGGCAGATGGGACCTCAGTTTAACTAGTTCCATCAGTTGGAGGTGCAGAGTTTAAGCAGCGGAGTTCACCCCACATTCGTGCTATAACCCGTTCTGCTTTCCCCCACCTCTGCAACATTGCCCACCACCACCACTATCTATCCTCTCAGGCTGCTGAAACCATCGTCCACATTTTCATTATGTTCAGGCTTGACTATGGGCTAACTCACTACTCGCCGAGCTTCCCTAGTCTTCCCTCCACATGCAGAGGTTATTCAGAACTCTGCAGCTCGTGTCCTCTCCTGGACTGAGCTTTGTGTGCCGACCACCCCCATCCTCACCCACCTTGCAGTTATATAGCGCCCTTCACACGGGGCAGCATTCTGGAGCGCTTAACAGTGGTGGCGCCCAACACCAAGTGGGGAGAAGGGAGGAGGTGACCATAAGCATGGTTGAACAGGAAAGCCTTCAGTCATAATCTAAAAGGGAATGAGGGGGCAAGGCAGAAGGATTGAAGGAGAGAATTCCAAAGCTTTGGGGTGTAATGGTTGGAGGCCACAGCCAGCCAAGCGAAGGCAGCGGGTAGTGGAGTGGGGAGAACTCCACTACCACTAGCAGTCAAAGAGGTAGGAAGGTGCCAGGGCTTGAAAGCAGAAGGTTGTCTGAATCTTTATGGAAAAAGGTTGTTAGTTTAGAAATTACCGAAGATGTAAAACTCACTCAGTGACTTCCAGTGATGTGATCCTGCGGTGGTCTTGAAGTATATTCAGTTTGTTGTTCTTCACAATGAAACAAAACTCACTCAAAAATCGGTCTGAGCAAGTCCTCAGCCTTTAAATCTGCAAACTCTCATAAGAATTCATTCCTTTTCTGTTAGCTGGGTATCGCGAGACCCCTATAAAAAAAGCATTTTAAGACAATAGTCTTTTAAGGAGTGTATCGCTAGTGTGGAGCTGAATGTTCTGTGATATTCAAAAGGTTCCCAAATAAGTCCCCAACGTTCAAACCTTCAGAATGCTACAGTTTGCTTCAATGAAGCAGAATGTGTTTGAACTGTTGGCACAGAAAATATGCCTCTCCTCTCACCTCATACTTCGTGGCCCTGTCCTTGATTAGTTCAGATCCTACCTCTCACACCATGTCCAGTTTGTCTCCAGGAACGGCTTCTCCTCCAGCTCCGCACGACTTTGTGCGGCGTTCCTCAGGGCTCTGTCCTTGGTCCCCTCCTCTTCAACATCCACATGCTTCCTCTTGATTACATCATCTGCAGACATGGGGTCAATTTTCACATGTATGAAGGTGACACCCAACTCTATCTGCCTCCACCCTCGACTCTATGACCACCTTTGTCCGGACAGAATGTCTGTCAGACGTCAAGTCCAGGATGAGAGTTAACTTTCTCCATTTGAATGTTAACAAGACCGAGGCTTTCCTGATTGGCTCCCATCAGCGTCTCCACACCTCAGGCACTGACAGTCCAGTCCAGAACCTTGGTTTTGTTTGACCCTCAACTGTCCTTTTTTCCCCACATCCGTGCCATGATCTACTCTGCCTCCCTCCACCTCCGCAACATCGCATGGCTCCCTCACTGCCTCACACCTCAGGCTGCCAAAATCCTCATCCACACACTTTATTGCACCTAGGCTCGACTACACAACCTCCCTGCTTGTTGGCCTCCCCAACTCTTCCCTCCACAAGCTGCAGATCATCCAGAACTCTGTAGCTCATGTGCTCTTCCACACGAGGCTCAGTGACGCCATCATCTCCACCCTCGCCCGGCTCCACTGGCTTCCCATCCCCCAGAGGGGACTGGTGGTCATCAAGTCATCTTGATCTTCTTGAGGCGTCTTCAGCACCAGCTGTTTTATGCAGTTCTTCACCAAGGTGAGGCAGATAGTTTATGAGCAGGAGAAGACTGAGGATAGAGCTCTACACGTGGCGGTGCTGGGGCAGGAGGCACATTGTGAAGGAGACAAAATAAATTTGCTGATACAAGTGAAAGTGCCACCAGAATAGAACAGTGCTTGGAGATCGAGCAGAGGAGAGAGCTGGTGCAGAAGGTTAGAGTGGTCGGTTTACAACAACAACGTGCATTACACAGCGCCCTTTCAGTGCCCACAAAACACACACTCAACCCACTTTTCAGAATAACTGTGAAGCGCTTTGAGACGTCTCGACAAGGTGATAAGGCGCTAAATTAAACACAAGGCTTATTGTTATAATTGCTGAACTCTGGTTCGTGACTCTTTAAGTGTCTCGGGTTCTCCTGATCTGAATGGTAATAAGATGTTCTTTAACACTCTGCACATGTTCCTGTTCATAATACGAAATGTTCAAAGCTTTGCAACATCGCACGGCGAAACTAAAACGTTTCCACTCATTCTTTGTTGCTTTTAAAGCCCATTTATTATTATTTCTTCCTCCCCTCTCCCCACGTTTATCGTCCATCTGAAGGCCTTTGTTTATGGCCGGGGGGGGGGACATCAAAACTAAACTAAACCCCCAGCTCCATCGCAACATCCTTCCACTCAGCAGGAATCAGCCCGATGCACATCCCCACCCTGCCCACACCTGACCAGCGGACTTTCAGCCTGTCTGCCCCACTCCCTGAACCTCCATCCTGGGAGTCACTATTGCAGATGAATATTTAAAAGATAGTGTCTTCCTTTATGTAAACCTTCAATGATTTAGACCACAGGCAGAATCTGATTTGGAGTGTTGTTAGATTTGGGGCAGACACCCATTGCTTATAGCTGAGGAGGTGCCGGGGCTGGCACTGATGTTGAATATTGACCAGTGAGATAGTGCACAATTCCTCCCTCTGGTAGGGCCAGAATTTTAAACTTACAGCTTAGTAAATCCTGGGAAGTGCTTTGAGATGTTTAACAACAAATGACACTTGTATAGCACCCTTCATGTCCCAGGGCGCTGGACAATCAGGGGTTTGAGACCCAAGCTGAGAGTTGGGGTCAGGAGGGGTGGAGGGCAGGGGGGGTGCGGGCGGGAGTGGCTGAAGGCACAATCGAAGAGGAAGGTCTTTAGACAGGTCTTGAAGGATGCAAGAGAGGAGGTGAGGCAGAGGGATTGCGGGATGGAGTTCCAGAGTGTGGGGGCAGAGATGCTGAATGCCCGATCATCAATGGTGGGGCGGAAAGTGCAGGGGACCTGCAGCAGGCTGGTGTCGGCCGAGCGGAAGGAGCGGACAGGCTTACATGGGGTTAGGTCCAGAGGTAAAGTACAATTACAATACAAAATTACATAGGTAGTGGGACGCAAGCCCATTGAGGACTTTGAAGATGAGAACAAGATGTTTGAACTCGATTTCCTGAGGGATAGGGAGCCATTGAGGCCGGGCAACAATGAGGGTGATTAGTTTGCGATGTTTAAAACAGCATGATAAGGTGCTCTATCAAATAAGATTTATTTTACCAAATTAGAGGATATTTTGTTTTTATTATTGTGACGCTCGGACATTTGATATTTAAGATTAAGCACTCTAATGGTTTGTGCTGGTGCAAGGTGAACAGGAGATGTTATCATCCCAGGTGTATTGTCAGCCAGTTTCTTAGAGGCCACAGAAACTCCGACTCTGCACGTGAAGGACATTATAAAGCAGGATTGTTGGCTTATTTGGTGTCCTCTGCCAGAACAGTGGTGCGAGGCTGGATATCAACGGTTCATAAAAAAAATGTACAGCCCTGAAAGAGGCCATTCAATGCTGAGAGCCCCGACCGGAGCAGGGAGAAGAGGAGGGCAGGGACGCCTATTCCGCCGATGGGACCATCTTCTGCTGCGCTCTCCACTTCAGCACCAGATCAGCCAAGGCCTTCACTTCCAGCAGCACCGACACCTCACTGGTTGCCAGCCCCTCCTGAGCACAAACAGACAGCGCTTTACAACAGCAACAACTTAAAAATTTGCATTAGTGCCCTCGAGCGCTTAATAGATGACTGGCTTAACCCCAAGGCAGGAGGGGAGGTGACCAGCCAAAGAGCAATGTCTTCAGGCACAATTTGAATACGGGCAGGTAGGGGGCAAGACAGAGGGATTAAACTTTCAACCTGTTCACTTTTCGTTCTCCCCGCGCCCCTACACTGATGTACAGGAACACTGGACAGGTAGCAGATGGACTGTGTGCACATGACTGGCCTCCATTATAGAAAAGACACCAGAGCCAAGGAGAACAAATGAGAAGTGCCAGCAGTGAGAACAAAAGAGTAGGATTAGGGTAGTGGGGAGCGAGCACCAGCATAGACACGATGGGGAGAGCAGGGAATGGGATTAGAGTAGAGATGTTAAATATATCGTGTGGTGCCCCCCTCTAACTGAGGATTCTATGTGTCCCTCCCTTTAAGTAGAAGCGAAAGGACATATTGTGAATACCCACCACATGTTCTGTTTTCTGTTGTATCTGAGAAGCCATTGACAAGGCCTTCAGATGGGATTCCACCTCCTCAATCACTGATGTCATCATGGGCAGGATCTCCACAACATACCTGGGCAGGAAGCAGATACACAGTCACCCACTGCCCACAGGGGCGGGCTGGAGGTGAAACATCGGGCGGTGAAAGGTGACAATATTGATAGCCCAGAGCATGGCAGCCTGGCTCGATTGAATGTTAGCATTGGAATCACACTGTAAGCTGACACTCCAATGCAGTGCTGGGGGTGGTGGGGGGTATATTGCCAGAGATGCCGTCCTTTGGATGAGACATTAAACCGAGGATACGTCTGCCTGTTCAGGTGGATGTTAAAGATTCCGCAGTGTTGTTTGAAAAGAGAAGGGAGTTTCTCTCTCGCTGATGTCCGGGCCAACAATAAAATTGGTCGCTTGCTCCATGGCTGCTTGTGGGACATTGTTAAATTACAAATACACAGTCATCCACTTCATAGTAAATCCAGTGAAGCGGTCTGAGGCGTCTCCCCCACCCCCCACGACATGAAAGGCGCTATAACAAATGCAACAACAATTATTATTAATTTGCACCTCTGGGGCATCAGCCTGGATTATGATGTTAAAACTCAATGTGGAGCTTGAACTCTCCCTACACCTAGAGCTCCTCCTCACTGTCAGGCCAAAGCCTCCCCCCCCACCCCAGAGCGCTGACCTGTGGTAAGGGGCTTCCACAGGCAGACTCTGGCCACACAGTGGCCGCACCAGCCGCTGCCTCAGCTCTACCTCCTGCCGCAGCACAGCCTCCAGGTGACGGTTCATCCTCTGAAGCTCATCCCGTTTCATAGCTGCACACAACAAAGATACTGATTAAAGAGCAGTCATTCCTCGCCTCGCTCACCTTTACTGACCTCTAATAGCTGTAAACCACTGTGCAACTATAATAAAGCAATAGTCTATGCAGTGTGACCACACCTCCCCCCACCCCCGCAGGGTGACACCGCCCCCCGCAGGGAGACACCGCCCCCCGCAGGGTGACCCCCACCCCCATTGTGAAAACCCCCGCCATGTGACCCCCCCACAGTGTGACTCACTGAGACAAGAGGGGTGAGTGATCAGAGCCGTGGCCTCCTGTAGCTCCAGCACCTGTGTCTCTAGTGACATCTGCCAAACAGAGAACCAGAGAAACCTCAGAGTTAGGCTATGTCACCGCCACTGCCCACCCCCCGNCCCCCCCCCCGAACCACAGGGCTGTAGCTGGCATTCACTTGTCCCCCTGGCGGTGGCTGAAGATGGCAGTTACTCGCTCCCCCTCCCTCCAGGGGTTGTAGCTGCCGTTACCTGCTCGATCCTCGCCCGGGTGCTGGAAGCTGCGTCCATAAATCTGAAGCGTTGGACGAAGGGAACGGAGCCCTCACAGTCTCCGTGGCTCACAGCCAACGTACTCTGAAACAAACCGTTTACCAACAATGACAATCCCTGCAGCCGACACAGCGCCGCATCACAGCTTCGAGACGTCTCGAAGCGCTTCACAGGATAGACTGTAAAGTGAATCCGCTGTATATTTTGTGACGAGAAAACCTCCCTCCCCGCCCACTGCCCACACCGAGGCCTGGGGGGGGGGGGGCAACCCCCCGGGGGAGGGGGGGCTTTCTCTCCACACACACACCCCCCCACCCCGATGCTTTCTCTCTCTCTTTCTCTCCCTCCTCCATCCCACCCTCTCGGGGGCTGTCCCTCCACCCCTATCCCGTCCACCAGGGGCTCGCTCCCCCCCCCCCCATCCCGCCCCGGGGTTCACTCCTATCCCCCCCCCCACCCGGGGGTCTCTCTCTCTCCCTCGGGGGCTGTCCGGTACCTGTGACAGGGTTCCTGATGTCAGGCTCCGCTGCAGGAAGGCGGCGGCCGGATTCTGGGCCCCCGGAGCCCAAGGGTTGACGGCCTCCATGGCCGCCGGGCGCGCCACAGCCCGTCTGTCACTGTGTGTGTGTGTGTGTGTGTGTCCCCGTGTTTCGACGTCACTCGGGAAGCATGTGATGACGTCAGGCGGCCGCGGTGCAGGCTGGGGGTGAGGTGAGGGCGGCCGCGGTGCAGGCTGGGGGTGAGGTGAGGGCGGCCGCGGTGCAGGCTGGGGGTGAGGGCGGCGGACATGGGCAACAGCGCTCTGAAAGCTCATCTGGAAACAGCGCAGAAAACGGGGGTCTTTCAGCTCACCGGCAAAGCTCTGAGTGAGGTGAGGGGGGGGGGAGGGAGGGGGAGTTGTGTGTGTGGGAGGGGGGGCTGTGGGAGGGAGGGAGGGAGGGGGGGCTGTGGGAGGGAGGGAGGGGGGGCTGTGGGAGGGAGGGAGGGGGGGGCTGTGGGGGGAGGGAGGGAGGGGGGGCTGTGGGAGGGAGGGAGGGAGGGGGGCTGTGGGAGGGAGGGAGGGGGGCTGTGGGAGGGAGGGGAGGGAGGGGGGGCTGTGGGAGGGAGGGAGGGAGGGGGGGCTGTGGGGAGGGAGGGAGGGGGGGCTGTGGGGAGGGAGGGAGGGGGGGCTGTGGGAGGGAGGGAGGGAGGGGCTGTGGGAGGGAGGGAGGGAGGGGGGGCTGTGGGAGGGAGGGAGGGAGGGGGGGCTGTGGGAGGGAGGGAGGGAGGGGGGCTGTGGGAGGGGAGGGAGGGGGGGCTGTGGGAGGGAGGGAGGGAGGGGGGGGCTGTGGGAGGGAGGGAGGGAGGGAGGGGGGTGCTGTGGGTGGGAGGGAGGGGGGGGCTGTGGGTGGGAGGGGAGGGAGGGGGGGCTGTGGGAGGGAGGGAGGGGGTGCTGTGGGTGGGAGGGAGGGGGGGCTGTGGGTGGGAGGGAGGGAGGGGGGCTGTGGGTGGGAGGGAGGGAGGGGGGCTGTGGGTGGGAGGGAGGGAGGGGGGGCTGTGGGAGGGAGGGAGGGGGGCTGTGGGAGGGAGGGAGGGGGGGCTGTGGGAGGGAGGGAGGGGGGCTGTGGACTGGGAGGAAGGGGGAGGGGTGCTGTGGGTGGGAGGGAGTGGGGGCTGTGGGTGGGAGGGAGGGAGGGGGGGCTGTGGGAGGGAGGGAGGGAGGGAGGGGGGCTGTGGACTGGGAGGGAGGGGGTGTGTGGGTGGGAGGGAGGGGGGCTGTGTGTGGGTGGGAGGGAGGGGGGGCTGTGTGTGTGTGGGAGGGAGGGGGGGGCTGTGTGTGCGGTGTTGTGGGTCTGGGTTGAACCACTGTGTTGGTTGTATGTGAATCACTGAGTGACTGTCTGTATCATTACATTGAGGTTTGACTGCAAACTCATTGCTTGTCGGTCTCCCCAACTCCTCGCTCCACAGATCAGAACTCTGCAGCCTGTGTCCCCTCCCGCCCCCGGCTCCACAACCCTATCACCCCCATCCTCGCCTCACTCCACTGGCATTCCGTCATTCTGCACCCACCCTCTGGAATTCCACCCCACAGTCCCTCCGACTCACCTGCTCCCTCGCCACCTTCAAGACCTACCGCAGGACCCTCCTCTTCAACCGTGTTTTCGATCTCCCCGCTTCCCCCCACCCTGCCTTCCACCCTCCCCGCTTCCCCCCACCCTGCCTTCCACCCTCCCCGCTTCCCCCCACCCTGCCTTCCACCCTCCCCGCTTCCCCCCACCCTGCCTTCCACCCTCCCCGCTTCCCCCCACCCTGCCTTCCACCCTCCCCGCTTCCCCCCACCCTGCCTTCCACCCTCCCCGCTTCCCCCCACCCTGCCTTCCACCCTCCCCCACCCCGACCCCTAGCTCAGGTCCTTAACTCTGTCTGTTCCAGCGTCCTCCCGACGTGAAAGGTGCTTCACAAATGTAATTTTGTTGTTGTTGTGTATGATGGGGGGGTGGGGTGCTGCCTGTAGGGGTGGGGGCTTTGTGTGTGTGGGGGCCACTGTGAGGCGTTTAGATGTGTGGTAGATCACTGATGCACAGACTGACTGAGCGGTGCCTCTCCTCTCACTGCAGTTCCCAGAGGATGTGGCGCGGTTGGCGGCCAGTCTGAGGACCATGGACTTGTCCAACAACAAGCTCCACATGTTACCACCCGTCATCGGCAGTTTCACCGCACTCAAGAGTCTGGCTCTCAACAGCAATAAACTGGGTACGACACTCGCCCCCGGGTAGAGACTATCTCTCTTGCTCATGTCTGACCTAGCAGACATCCATCTGCAAGGAGGTTGGAAGAGCTGGTGGGAGGTTTGGGACAGATTGAAGGTCTTAATAACCCAATGCACTGGGAAGAGGTGGACTCCGCACTGTGGCGTGTGGCCAATGGCAAGACAGCTGGTGTGGATGGCATCAATGCTAAATTCCTAAAAGCTGCTCTGAGGGGAGGAGATGGTGAACGGTGAGGATCTTACAGATCCAAGCCAAGTACTTCTGACTCACCTTGGAGCGGCCCTCCTAGTGCCAGATTCTCTCTGAGGCCTGTCAGTGTTCCAGAGTGCAATCATGGTGTCTCTCCACAAGAGGGTGACCCTAGTGAGACTGATAACTACAGAGGGATCTCGCTGATTCCTGTGGCTCTTAAATTGCTGCTTCGGGTAGTCACTGCATGTATATTGCACGCATTGGAGGCTTGCGGTTTGATCAGGACGGAGCAGGCTGACTTCCGTTCTCGTGAGGACTGTACGGGACAGGTTGGGGTTTGTATGAGATCGCAGAACGTATAGTGAGGCTAAGGGGAAACCCACCTAAGTTGCGCTCAACGACTTTCGAAAGCTTTTGACCTTGTGCCTTATGAGGCCGTCATGATGAAACTGGAAGCTGTGGGAGACCATGGCAGATGCCTGGGTTTTATCCGGAATGTGTACGCCAGATCCAAGATCCATGTAAGGGTCGACGGTGAACTCAATGAGCCTATTCCCTCTGGAAAGGAGGGTAAGGTAAGGCTGCTCATTGTCACCCACCTTCTTCGATGTGTTCATCAAGGACATGTTGGATGGCATCGAGGGAGAAGGACTTGTATATTCGCTCCAGGCCTCTCAGACAGGATTGGGGCGCTTCTGTTTGCAGATGATATTGTGCTGCTGGTGGACTCACCTGGACACCTTCTGCGCTGTACCTGCCGTCTTTAACTTTAGGCCACTCTCACTCTCTCTCTCTCTGTCTCTCAGTGTCTCTCCCCGAGGAGCTGGGGCGGCTGCAGAAGCTGGAGACTCTCCAGGTTAACAGCAACAGTCTGCGGGAGCTGCCAGCGGCCTTGGGGGATCTGTCAGCACTGCGGAGCCTGGGGCTGTCCGGGAACCGTATCAGTGACTTTCCGCTGCAGCTGTGCCGACTGCGGCACCTGGCCGTGGTCGACCTGTCCCGCAATCAGATCCGCCGCATTCCTGACGAGGTGGGGCAGCTCCAGGCCATCGAACTCAACCTCAACCAGAACCAGGTGTGGGAGGTGGGGGCTGGGCTGCGGGGTGGGTTGGGTGGCAGGGGAGGGCCTGCGCCGTGTTGGGGGGGGTGCTGGGCTGTGTGAGTGTGCGGAGAATGGGCTCTGTGGGGAGGGGGGGGGGTTGTCGGGGGGAGCTGGGCTGTGTGTGGTGGGGGTGCTGGGTTATGAGGTAGGGGAAGTTGTGGTGGTGGGGGCTTGTGGTGGGGCTGCTGTCTGCTTCTGACTGTCTTCGCTCCCTCAGATCTCTCAAGTGTCGGCACAGATCTGCCAGAGTGAACGGCTGAAGGTGCTGAGGCTGGAGGAGAACTGTATGGAGCTGTCGATGATCCCAGTCAGCATCCTCACCCAGTCCCACATCTCCCTGCTCGCACTCGAGGGAAACCTGTTTGAGATGAAGGCCCTACAGGAGCTGGAGGGTTACGAGCAGGTGTGTGTTAGTGAAAGAGATCTCTTCTCCCCACCGCATACAAACTCCTCCCCACCCTCACACACATACACACTCTCTTCCCCACCCTCACACACATACACACTCTCTCCATCTAATAGTGGCTGATTTTAATCTTCATATAGACTGGGAAAATCAAATTGGCAAAAGTAAGTTAGAGGATGAGTTTATAGAATGCATTAGAGATAGTTTTCTAGAACAATATGCTGAGGAACCAACCAGGGAACAGGCGATCCTAGATCTTGTTTTGTGTAATGAAACAGGGCTAATCAGCAATCTGGAAGATAACGCTCCTCTAGGGCAGAGTGACCATAATATGATGGAATTTAGCATTAAGTTAGAGAGTGATGTAGCTAAGTCTGAAGCAAGGGTCTTTAAATTTAAATAGAGCCAGCTTTGCAGGTATGAGAGAGGATTTAGCTAAAATAGACTGAGGAATTAGATGAAAGGGTATGACAGTAGACCAGCAATTGCAAACCTTTAAGAGTGAGAAAATGGATTATAAGGACAAACTAGCGAAGAACATAAAGACAGACTGCAAGAGTGTTTACAAATTCATAAAGGGGAAGAGACTATCAAAAGTGAATTTGGGTCCATTACAGGCAGAGACAGGAGGAATTATAATGGGGGATAAAGATATGGCAGAATCATTAAACAAATAATTTGCTTCTGTCTTCACGTTAGAAGACACTGAGAACTTACCAAAAATAGAGGGAACCAAGAAGCTAATGTTAGTGAGTAACTTAGAGAAATTAACATCAGTAAAGAATTAGTACTCAGGAAACTGTTGGGATTGAAACATGACAAATCCCCTGGACCTGATGGCCTGCATCCTAGAGTTTTAAAAGAGGTGGCGGCTGAGATAGTGGATGCCCTGTTTTTGATCTTCCAAAAATCTTCCAACTCTCACGGTTCCCATTGATTGGAAGATCGCAAACGTAACACCACTATTTAAGAAGGGTGGGAGAGAGAAGATGGGGAACTATAGACTAGTCAGTCTGACATCGGTGGTAGGGAAAATTCTAAAATCCTCAATTAGGGACGTCGTAGTGGGGTACTTAGAAGACCATAACATGATTAGGCAAAGTCAACATGGCTTTACAAAAGGGAAGTCATGCTTAACAAATCTTTTAGAGTTCTTTGAGGATATAACTAGCAGGTTAGATAGGGGGGAACCAGTAGATGTGTATTTAGATTTTCAGAAGGCATTCAACAGGGTGCCACATAAAAGGCTGCTACACAAGATTAGAGCACATGGAATTAAAGGCAATATATTAGCATGGATCGAAGAGTGGCTAACGGGAAGAAAACAGAGTAGGAATAAACAGGTCCTCAGATTGGCAAGATGTGACTCGTGGAGTGCCACAAGGATCAGTGCTTGGGCCTCAACTATTTACAATCTATATCAATGATCTAGACGAGGACATAGAACTTAAAATATCTAAATTTGTGGATGATACTAAGCTAGGTGGGAGAGTAAGCTCTGAGGATGACACAAAAAGATTGCAAAAGGGTATAGATAGGCCAGGTGTGTGGGCAAGAAGGTGGCCGATGGAATATAATGTGGGGAAGTGTAAAGTTATTCACCTAAGTAGTAAAAACAGAAAGGCAGATTATTTTCTAGAGGGGGAGAGACAAGATACCAACAAACCCTCCCTCTCACATATACCCACTACTCTCACACACTCACTCTTTGCCCTTTCACATACACTCTCTCCCTCTTTCACACACTCACTATCTCACACACACACACATACACACTCACTCACATTCTTTCTCACACACACTCTCCCCCTCTCTCTCTTAGTACATGGAGCGTTTCACAGCGACCAAGAAGAAGTTTGCCTGAGTGGGCGCAGCTACTGTCACTGGGAGGGGCACTTGGGAGAGGAGGAAGAGGGGCAAGAAGCCTGGAGGCTGAGCCCCACCCATGGCTCCTGGGAGGAGAAGCAGCAGTTTTTAGCGCTTTAGTCTTGAGTTCAGGGCTGGAGCACTGAGGCTACTATAGCCTGGGCTGCAGCTCTCATCGTAGCCATCTCTCTGCACTATCCTTGTCTTCACTCTGTACATACACTGTCCAGCAGCCGCTCTGGTCTAATGGAATTCTTTCACACCCGCCTCCCATTCACAATATCCCCTGTACAGAGCTTCACAAGTTAACAATGGGACAGGTTAGACAGAGCAAAATTCTCTCTCCACTCCCAAGTCAGGGATAGGCATGGGTTACAGATAAAGCAAAAAAAAAATCATTCATTTACACTCCTGTGGGTGACACAGTAAAGCTCCCTCTACACTGTTGCACCCTGTTGGAAGGTGCCTGTATATTGGGGGGGGGGGGGGTATGTGCAAACATTCACTGTCTAGCTCACACATTGAATGGTTCCTGGGGTGAGGAGCTTGAGGTGGGGGTTGAAATACACTAACTGATAGAATAATTGTTTTGGGCACTGGACCCTAATATCCCCTGTACAGAGCTTCACAAGTTAACAACAGCACAGGTTACACAGAGCAAAATTCTCTCTCGACTCCCAAGTCAGTGATAGCACGGGTTAGAGACAAAGCAAAACATCATTCATTCACACTCCCGTCAGTGACACAGTAAAGTTCCCTCTACAGCGTCTCACCCTGTTGGAAGGTGCCTGTGTATGGGGGGCATGTGCAGACATTCGCTGTCTAGCTCACACATCAAATGGTTCCTGGGGTGAGGAGCTTTAGGTGGGGGGGGGAAGAGATCAAAATACACTAATTGATAGAATAATTGCTTTGGGCACTGGACTCATCTCTCTCTCTCCCCAAGGTCTAGGACGGTATGATCACATATAAGCACTATGGCAGATGATGACAACAGTGTTTTTTTAAAGCTTTTTAATATCTACTTTGCCCTGCCTGAGTTTGATTTCCCTCAACTACGTGATAAGGTGTTATATCAAATGCAAGGATTATTATTTGTCTATAATTAAATATTTCCCCTCGAGTTGTTATAGTTTGTCCTGTTTGGAGTGATGTGGCTGTGTGGGACATCGGGAGAGAGAGCGACTCCCTTCATAATTTCCAACAGCATCATGGAACCGTTAACATTCACCTGACAGACGCTGTGGCTGGGTTGAATGCTGTGCGCAATTGGCTGCTGCATTTCACACACAAAACACAGTCATTACACTTTAAATTATATTCTGTGAAGCACTTTGAGACATTTTTAAGACGTGATAAGGCACTATATCAATGCATAGATTATTATTGTGAAGGAGATGATGTGATTTGAGAAAATAAACCACAAACAATACCTGCTGTTTTGTATCTACACACTGCGCTGCATCTGCATTTTCTGTTCCTGTGCACAACCTGTATCATCACTCAGTACAAGTTTATTCACTCAAAGCAACCAGTTTATTTTTTATTAGAAAAAAAACAATAATTTGTGTGGGGTGGTCAGCACTGATTACAATCACACAATGATTCAGCTCATTCGGGGGCACAGGGACCATCCATTACACAAATGGAAAAAAATGATTAAATGTGCAAGGTTGGTTCACTACAGACAGAATGGCTGCCCGGGTGGGGTGGGAGAGAGGGAGAGGCGGTTTCTGGAAGTCCTTTCATCAAGCCTTATGGTCATAGCTGCCTGTCCAGTCTCTCTCAGCTCAGCCCCTCAGCCTTCAGGGCTCTGCGATCCTCCTGCCACAAGTCCCAAAGCCTCGACCCAGATCCACAGGCAGACACCACTCACAGGCAATTCATCTCCAAAGGGATATTTAGACTCAAATATCATCAAGGCGAGAAGCACTCTCTTCAGCACACAGGCTGGGCAGGAGTCCCATCCCCAGGCAGCGGAGGTGCTTAATGATGAGTTCAGGGGGAGCAGAAACCACAACCCCCCACTGGGGAGACGGGTCCAGGCGATGGGGTAGCCGGGGTGGGGAGGGGTGGGAGGTTGGGGGACAGACACGGAAGACGGGGTGGGGGGGCAGACGCCACTGTTTATTTTTTGATGAGTTTGTTGGCTCTCTGGTTGGCTTCGTCGATCCGAGTTTTGTTAGTGTCGGCCTGTTCATACAAAGAGCCCCCGTCAGCGTCAACCGAGGAACAGAACCCCCCACCCCTGCACCAGCCTTCCCCCAAGACCCCACCCCAAGACCCATTCTCACCTTGTCTGTGATGCGGTCAATCCTCTGATTCTGGGACTCGATCTCGTTGCCCATCTCCATGGCCATGCTCTTCAGGTTCCCGATGATGCTGCCAACCTGCTCCAGGTTCTCCTCCATCTCATCCTCCCGAGCGTCATTGGTAATCCTGCAGAGGCACGGCATTCTCACTCACTCTCTCACTCACTCACATTTTCACCAACTCACTCTCACTTTCTCATTGACTCTCACCCACTGACTCACTGCATCACTCATACTCTCATTCACTGCCTCATTCTCACACCCTCTAACTCACTGACTCATCCTCTCTCTCACTGACACACTGGATAGGGAGAGAATGTGGGGTTGTTGGGAAGGGGGGGGGGGAGAGAAAGTGGGGCTGTGTGTATTGGGGGGGGAAAGAGAATGTGGGGCTGTGTATATTGGGGGGAAGAGAATGTGGGGCTGCGTGCGGGGGGGGCGGGGTTGAGAATGTCTGTGTGAGGGGAGAGAATGTGGGGTTGTTTGGGGGGGTAGAGAACGTGGGGCTGTATGTATGGGGGAAAGAGAATGTGGGACTGTTGGGGGGGAAGAGAGAGAATGGGGGCTGTGTGTGTGTGGGGGGGGGGGGGTGGGGGATTAGAGAATGTGGGGCTCAGTACTTTTTGATGTAGCCTGTGCTTGTCCTGTCTGCCCCTGCTGTGCCCTGCCCACCACCAGGCTGACTGGTGGTGACCTTCCCTGAGCTGCCATCGGGGTCACTGTTCCAGGCCTTCTTGTACACGTCCCGCATCTCAAAGTTCTTCACCCTGGGGTTGTGGGGGGGGAAGGTGGACAGCATTAATACATATGTAGCTGATTGCAGGAGGTGATGGAAGCCCCTCTACCTACACAAGACAACTAGCACATTCAATACTGATATAATGCAGACAAGGAAGGACTTTACAATAGACACAGAGGGAGGTTAGGGAGGGGTATATGGGAGGGAGGGGAGAGGCAAGAGACAGAAGGGGAGCTGTGGGTGACGGGGACCTCTGCCAAGATCCACACCAACAGTGAGGACCAGAGGGATAGTGAACTGAGTCCATTGGGAAGGAGGAGGTACATAAGTTGTGAGGCTGCATTTTACGCAGCGAGGAGATCAGGCATTCAGGCTGCAGCATTGACACAGCCCCAGTGCAGAACATGCAACCCAGCCCCTGGGCAATGTTTTACATGCATTTCTATGGTAATATCTTCACTCCGCAGCCACCAGTCAGGAATCACCAAACCACGCTCCCACTTGTCTCCCTCTGTCCTCAACAGGAATAGGACACCAGCCGCCCAGCCTGCTGCACAAGACTGTAGATATTTTAATGCCTTTTTCCAAATCCTCTGCCTTCCTAAGTCTCTACCCATCTCCCTTAGACATGGATTCTGCCTCTTTGACCTTCTGTGCCAAGCGATGGACACTCAATGTCCTGTGTGGGCAAGTGGTTCCCCATCTCACGATCTCCTCACTGCTCCAAGTTTAACACTCTGTCCCTTGTTGTGCACTCTCTACTCCATTCCCTGCGTTACTTTACATTCCTCTATTCCCTTTCCCACCCCTCCCCTCGGTCCCCTCGCACCCCTCCCCATCACCCTATCCCTTCGCACCCCCCCGTCCCCTCCTCAGTCCCTTCGCCAAAATACAGTCAATTCACTTTACAATATATTCTGGGAAGCAATTAAGACGTATCAACGATGTGATGATTAAATGCAAAGATTATTATTGTCATCACATCTGAAGGATGTCTCAAAGAGCTTCACAGGATTTACTACGAAATGGAGTGACTGTGTAGTTGTAGGCAACACGGCAACTCAATTGCACGCAGCAGTGTCCCACAAACAGCCATGGAGTGACTGACCAATTTTATTTGGGGGGATCGTCAGCCAGGACACCAGGAGAGAACTCCCTTCTCCTTTCCAATAGCGCTGACAGATCTTTAAAGTCCACCTGAACAGGTAGCCCTCACTTTAACATCTGATCCACTGCGCCAGGCTGACATCTCGCCAGGTTGACACACTGGAACTTGGTCTGAGACCTTCACTAAGTTAGTTCATTTTGCATGCAGTGCGTGTGTGTGTGTGTGGGGGAGGGGGGGTGCGGGAGAACTCATGCATACATGCAGTTCCATCAGCAGCACCTACTGAGTAAATACAGGGTCCGTTCACTCCTCCCAGAGTCTGCGCTTGGGTTAGCTCAAACCTCCAGTTAATGAAGCACAAAAAAAGACAGAAGAGAGAGAGAGAGAGAAAAAGTTGAATGGGAGGAAGTTCTGAGACAGAGCCCCTGCAGAGAGGGGCACAGCTCAACCACAGCATCTCACCCTCACAGTGAGCGTGGGCCAGTTACCAATCCCCCCCACCAGCCCGGATCAGATAGTTACCAGGGCCCCTCACTGGGTTAGTCAGTTACCAGGGCCCCTCACTGGGTTAGTCAGTTACCAGGGCCCCTCACTAGGTTAGTTAGTTAGTTGGTTACCAGGGCCCCTCACTGGGTTAGTTGGTTACCAGGGCCCCTCACTAGGTTAGTTAGTTAGTTGGTTACCAGGGCCCCTCACTAGGTTAGTTAGTTAGTTGGTTACCAGGGCCCCTCACTGGGTTAGTTGGTTACCAGGGCCCCTCACTGGGTTAGTTGGTTACCAGGGCCCCTCACTGGGTTAGTTGGTTACCAGGGCCCCTCACTGGGTTAGTTGGTTACCAGGGCCCCTCACTGGGTTAGTTGGTTACCAGGGCCCCTCACTGGGTTAGTTGGTTACCAGGGCCCCTCATTGGGTTAGTTGGTTACCAGGGCCCCTCATTGGGATAGTTGATTACCAGGGCCCCTCACTGGGATAGTTGGTTACCAGGGCCCCTCACTGGGATAGTTGGTTACCAGGGCCCCTCACTGGGTTAGTTGGTTACCAGGGCCCCTTGTTGGGTCAGTTGGCTAGTTAGTTACCAGTGTCCCTCACTGGGTTAGTTAGTTTCTCCCCACTCACTTGCTGCAGGGACACACACACAGGCCGCAGCATTTGGTCAGGTCAGTCAGGTTTTTCTCCGCCTCCTTCATGTCCTGGTTGATGCGGTCGAGCCCCTCATCGATACGTTCCAGTTTCTCTGACAAGCAGACAGTGTGTCAGGCCCTCAGCACGTTCATTTCAACAACCCTGCTCTCACCACCATTCCCCCCCAAAACAAACAGAGATGGGGGGCTCTTCACACCCTATCCTGCGTGTCCACCCGCACACAGCTGTCAGCGTAGGGCAAGAGTGGCTCCAGCCAGTCATCAGGAGGTGGAAGCCAGGCTGACCTTTCTCTCCCAACCCAACTGATCTCAGTCCCACTCTGTGCGTTAATGGTCTCGCTCCGTGTGTTAATAATTTCAGCCTCGCTCTGTGTTGAGTGGCTGATCTTAGTACTCACCTCCCTGTTCATCCAACATCACTAGCGTCTTGCCACCAGCATCTTTGCTCTGCAACAAGTTACAGGAAAGTGTGTCAGTGGCTCAGAGCCTGAACCGGGGTGTTACAGGCAACTCCCCCTGCCCACCCTCCCCCCCAGCAATCGGTTCTGTATGAGAGGGTTTCCCTGCGTGAGGGGCGCTGCCCCGCGTGAGGGGCGCTGCCCCGCGTGAGGGGCGCTGCCCCGCGTGAGGGGCGCTGCCCCGAGTGAGGGGCGCTGCCCTGCGTGAGGGGAACTATATAACTGTAAGTTGTTGTTGTTGGGCAGTATGGGAACAGCTTACCTCCTCCGCCATCTGCAGCATCCGACGCGTGCTCTCCAGAGACTGAGAAAAAGGAACAGAGTCAGCAACACACACAAGCTCCATACCTATGTGCCCGCAGTGCCCGCATGCAGCTCCCCCCACACAGTGCCCACGCACAACTCCCCCCAGTGCCCGCTCGCAGCTCCCCCCCCCGGTGCCCATGCACAGCTTCTCCCACCCGTGGCCACGCACAGCTCCTCCCACCCGTGGCCACGCACAGCTCCTCCCACCCGTGGCCACGCACAGCTCCTCCCCCCCGTGCCCACGCGCAGCTCCTCCCCCCCGTGCCCACGCGCAGCTCCCACCCACCCCAGTGCCTATGCGCAACTCCCCCCCAGTGCCTATGCGCAGCTCCCCCCCGTGCCCGCGCGCAGCTCCCCCCCCCGTGCCCGCACGCAGCTCCCCCCCCGGTGCCCGCGCGCAGCTCCCCCCCCAGTGCCCGCGCGCAGCTCCCCCCCCCCCCAGTGCCCGCGCGCAGCCACACAGTGCGCAGTGCACCCGTACAAACACACATGCCCCTACACAGACACATGGGACACAGCCCCGCATCCACCACCCAGGATGCCCCGCATGGCTCCCCGACTCTCAGCCTCACCTCATCTGTCACCTGGTTGGCACGTTGCTGGATATCCTCCAGCGAGAGCTCAGCCATGCTGCTTAACTTCAACTGCTCGGATGGAGCTGTGAACAATAAACAGGCTGTCAGTCAGCAATGTGCCCCTTCCATACCCGTTGCTGGCCACCCCCCACCCTGCCTCCTCCCCCCCTGTCCTGCCTCCTCCGCCCTTCCTCCTCCCCCACCCCGTCCTTCCTCCTCCCCCACCCCGTCCTGCCTCCTCCCCCACCCTGTCCTGCATCGTCTCCCCGTCCTGCCCTTCAACAACAACAACTTGCATTTACACAGCACGCAGGGTAGCGTCCCAGAGCGCTTGACAGTGGCAGAGCACGACGCCGAGCCAGTCCCACCCGTCTAGTCCCCCAAGTTCCTGCAGGTTGCGAAGGAAAGGCAGGCAGTGGGACTGAACAGACTAACCCAGTTCAGTGTTAAGAGGGCTGTGCCATCCATTACTGGGTGTTCAGCAGCCCCGGCGGGCACTTGCCACACAGCACAGAGAACTGCAGCACTTACACTGGGTGCCCGAGGTGAGGGTACCCCTCCTGCTCACACCGAGGGCTATTTACAGATGATCCTGGCTAGATTACAGGCTGCCTGCCCTCCACAGCACTGCTTCCTCGTTCCTTCCCGCAAAAGCCAGCCTCCAGCTCCCCACAGGAGGGGCCTCACAAACACACACAGCCAGGCCAACCAGGGCAGGACTCACACCACAGCAGACTTCCTCCCCCCTCTCTCTCTCTCTCTCTCTCTCTCGCGCGCTCTCTCTCTCTCTCTCTCAGCCTTTTAGTCTGTGTGTCTCTTCACAACAAAACTGTAGTCACATCACCGAACACTCCCACTTCCTGAGAAATACCGTTCACACTTCACATCCTCATCTGCAGCCCGATGCTCAGTGTCACTGGGCTGCAGTAAGTACAAACCAGACACCCACAACAAGTGCTTGTGGCTTTTGAACAGAATGTTTGCAGAGCATTCACTACACAACGTCCTCCTGACGTGAAAGGCGCTACACAAATGTAATCTTGTTGTTGTATCTTGTGGTACAGCAGGGTTAGGGTCCCAAGTCCTAGGGTGCAGCTTTGAACCAACAAGTTTCTGATGCAGAAGTGAGCGAGAGAGAAAGAATGTAAATGTCCTCAGGTCATGATGATGACCTAAGCTGGATAGGCTGAACTCACTTTTCCCATTGCCACCGTAAGCGAGAAGAGGAATGCAATAGAAACTAATGAAAAGGTTTGTTTCATTCCTGACCCTCTTCCCTTGCCCGCCTGCCCTCCCTTCCCCCCCCCCACCCACTCACTAAGGGGAAGTGAACTGAGGGCCAGAAGGCAGCTCTCGCCGACATTTTCCTTCCGGTTATTCACTCAAGTCGCTGCTCATTTCCTCTTCAGGCAAAGATCTAAAGTGGGACAGAAATAGGCTGAACTCAAGGAATCTTGTGTCTTCTGGTCCACACTGTCTCCAGCCCGTGGTTCCACACTCCAGCTCTGGTCATTCCTCACTCTCTCCGTCACATCATCAGTGAGCGAGCTTTCAGCCACCAAACCTTGCCCTCTCGAGCACTTGACATTTAATGATGTGACGGGCGTGCAAGTTGTTGCGCAAGTCTAACCGTTGCTGTACATGGGGATCAAGCCAGCACTTCACAAAGGGGGAGTGAGCTGAGGGCTTGATGGCAGCTCTCTCCTGACACTTTCCTTTCAGCTATTCACTCAAATCGCTGCTCATTTCCTCATCAGGCAGTGATCTAAAGTGGATCAGAAGTGGGCTGAATTCTAGGAAGCAGTGTTACACGCAGAGCTCCATCGACGTGGAAGGAATTTTACGATCTGGGATCGGTGCTGGAGCCAAGACTGTCCGAGATGAACAGAAATGTTTTGTAAATGGAGACAGGAAACAAGCTACCAAAGTCCAGGGTCAAGCACTGAGGGAATCTGTGGCAAACACCAGGGAAGTGGCTGCAGGGAGGGAAGGCTCCGGCGGAGCTGAACACTGAACCTGGAGGAGGAGTGGGAACGTCTATTTGTCAAATAATGCAAGGATTATTATTATTATTAATCATTATTATTATTAAAGTACCTCACATGAGGAACTAGATTGAGCAGTTGGTGCTGAGTAAGCCTGAAACGCGGCATTGGAATTAGACTTCGAGAACAAGGTTTCTGGCACATTCACAAACTGTCCTGTTTGATCCTCCCACCGCGCTGAAGGCAGATTCCATCAATTGGTAATGAGGAAACTCTAAGAGGCCTGGGGCGACTCCTGACTCAGCTCTGTTAACCCAGCAAGCCAAAGCACTAATAGGTAGGGTGGTCCGAGCCGGACAAGCAGTGGGAAAGCTTATCAGGCAGAGCTCTCAATGGCAAGCTATGTGGTTTTAGCTGGTTAGATACCAGCAGTCACCCCAACACACATTCTGGAGTCCCCAGGCTTTGGATCTTGCCAACTTGCAACTAATACGGTCTCACCACGGAGAGAGTGCGCATTCCATCCCAACAATCTATCTCTGGAATTGCCATGTATTTAATTAATATATTTAATTAACGCATTTAATACAATTGCCATGAAATGCTCACAAATATACAGTCAATTCACTTTACAGTCTGTTCTGCGAAGCGCTTTGAGACGTCTAGAAGACGTTGAAAGTGCTATATCAAATGCAAGGATTATTATTATTATTTGGGTGGGATGAATGGAATTCTCAGTTTGGTTTGAAGACTCTTAAGCACGGTGACGGGTTTCCTCTCATGACCTGCTGCTCGGCTGACTAAACAAAGCTATCAAAGCCACAGGTAATGGTACCAAACTCAGGTAATTGAAGATAACATGAAACAATATTGGAACAAAGCAGGCTGAACATTAAGGTGTCAGCTTGGCTCATTCACTAAACTCATCTCCGAGTCAGAAGGTTGTGAAGTCAAGACTTTGAGCTCACAGACCAGGCTGGCAGTTCAGTGCAGTGCTGGGGTAGTGCTGCATTGTCAGAGGTGCAGTCCTTTGGAATAAGACTTGTGAAGTGAAAACCCTACAACCCATTAGATCCCCGCATCCACAAACAAACTTTTAGTGAATGCAACCCAGGACTACCTGCCACATTCCTCTTCACCAATACACAGTCACTACACTTTAATGTTCTGGGTAGCGCAGAAATATTTGCAGGTAAGAGCGGGAGCCAATCTGCACACAATAACGCCCCACAAACAGTCACCAATTTAATAATAATAATCCTTGCATTTGATATAGCACATTACCAAGTCTTTGAGATATCTCAAAGCGCTTCACAGAATATACTGGAAAGTGAATTGACTGTATATTTTGTGGGCAAAACGCGGTAGCCAATTGCACACAGCAGCGTCCCACACACAGTCATGGATTGAGTGACCAAATTATTATTATTATTAATATTTTTTTGAGGGGATTATTACCCCTGGAAAAGTGATCCACTAATCGACTAACAACCGGGTTACTACTTACTTCTAAGTTAACAGAGGCGTGTGGAGTAAGGAAACTTGCCTAACGTTTCGCCCTACCCGGGAATCAAATCCAGGTCCTCTCCCTTACGAGGTAAGTGCTCTAACCACTGAGCTACAGGACTCCATCTGCGGGATTGTTGTCCAGGACACCAGGAGAAACTCCCTTCTCTTTTGCGAACAGTGTTAACGTTCACCTGAAAGGCAGTACCCAAACAGCAAACAGTATGACCAGGCCAGGCTAGCCCAGCCACACAGCAGGAGAAGATCTCAGGAGGGTGTGGTGGGATTTGGCGAGGAGCCTGAATCGGCTGGGGGCCAGTAGATATTAGTAAACAGTAAACCAAATAAACAGGAGCTATAGATTCACAAAGGTACATGTTAAAGACATAACTGGGGCCAAAGCCACTTACATGGAACGCCAAGTAGAGAATATGCAGTGTGGCCACCGAGAATACAGCACCTCTCACTGTGCTGCAAACCTTTGGGAAAAACAGCTGATTTGTGTAGCTCATTATTTGCATGCGATTCTGTTCACCACCCATTCTGCTGATGTCCACCAGATGAATCAATGCTCGCATTACAGCCACTCTGCCAGTTAAACCGGCACAGCGTCAGAGTCAGAGGCATTGCACTTGACAGCTATTCCCTGTGAGACGCTAGGAAGTTCTAGGCACTGTTGCCAGAAACACCACCAGAAACAAAGATTACATGTAGGGTGAGAGAGAGCTGCACACAAGCATAAAAATTTCTGCTGTCTGTTTAGGTTCAAATGCTGGAATCAATGGCGACTTACAAGGCAGTTGTTACTATAGCACTAGGTCATCATCTCTGTAATTACAGCACCACATACCCATCAGAACAGACACAAAGAGTGTGCAGAATAATAGTTATATTTGAGACAGTACCTTTCACTTCGGGAGGATGTTTACAGTGCAGTGACTGTGTGCTCAGACTCAGCAGCCAATTTGAAGACAGCAACGCTCCACAAATATCTGGGACATTGTCGCCAGCACCACAACCAGGAGAAACTCTTTTCCAATCATTCTTTAAAACATCTCATCTGAAGGACGGCACCGCAGACAACGCAGTAACCCTCCCCCCACAACATTGCACTGAAGCATCAGTCCAGACTGTGAGTTTAAAGCCCCAATGCCGTGAAGCATTTTGAGACATCCTCCCAACATAAAAGTGCTATGTCAAATGCAAGGATTAATTATAATTAGTCATCAATATTAATTTTATTAGTTGCTTGATGCTCTCGAAAGCTGGCACATCCTTCCTAAGGGTGGACACCAAGCTAAACACAAGATTTCCAAACATCATCCTCCTCTCAAAACAAACTCTGCCTTTCATTCCGACATCAGCCCTTGTCACAGCAATACCACCCTTCAAACCACATTGTCTCTCACCTCCTGGGATAGCGAGAGAAAGACAGCGGTTCCTGAATTCTCACCACATTTATAACACAATGTGGAGCTGGCCAGGGGAAGTACCTGCTGGTCTGTTTAAACAGTGCACTGAAAGATTAACTTTTACAGATCAAACAAGCCAACATTCAAGCCAACATGCACACGGCCACGCCTTGCAATGTAAAACTACTTTTCGATGCAAATTTATACTTTGAAATATTTCTTCGGAACCATTACACCTAAACTCCCCCAAAAATAACTCATTGTGAATCCACTGCACACTTAGAAGAATACATTACATTTGTTATATTTGTATAGCGCCTTTCACGTCGGGAGGATGTCCCAAGACACTGGACAATCAGTGTTTTGGACCCTAGCTGGGGGGGAGGGAGGGGGAGGGATCAGGGGGGTGGGAGTGGGGGGCAAGAAGGGTGGATCGAAGAGGATGGTCTTGAGATGGAGTCGGATGTACTGCAGGATGGAGTTCCAGAGCGTGGGGGTAGAGTAGCTGAAAGCCCACCTACCAATGTTGAGGCGGGCAAGGCGGGGGACGTGAAGCAGGAAAGAGACCGCTGAGCAGAGGGAGTGGGCAGGTTGGTGTGGGTTTAGGAGGTCACAGAGGTAGGGAGGAGCAAGGCCATGGTGGGCTTTGAAAGTGAGACAACATAATGCAACTTCTTTAAAACGCAAGTAGTTTCTCTCTCTCCCACCCCCCGCCCCACTCCCCGACAAACAACCAAGAAGCTAGTCATCAAACCAAGGCAAAAGACACAAGGACACAGAGGTTGTGGTGAAAATCCTCCTCCATTCAGCTAACTCAGCCCTGCACATCTCTGCTCTCTCCTCACCACCATCAGTAGCAGAGCATTCAGTCACTGTGACTCTAACCTCAGGAATTCATTGTCTTAATCCCACCATTTTGTGTAATGTGTATGTCCTTCTCTCTCACACACGCAAACACACACACAGTTACCGTGTCCATGCAAGTCTCTCAGTCACTGTGTCTGTGTGTATATTTGCACACATTGCACTCTATCGCTCACAATTTCTGTACTTCACTTCCTGAGCCAGGCAGGTGTCCACAGCACTTCAGGGCACGGCTGATGACAATCCAGCCCATCGGCAGGACTTGGGAGTCAGAGAGGCTCACACAGCCAGACACACTCACATCAGCAGTCACTGGGGGCAGGGAAACCTCCCACTCAGCTCCTGTTAACCCTGCCAAGCCAAAGTCCTGTAGCTCAGTGGGTAGAGCACTCGCTTTGCAAGCGAGAGACCTGAGTTCAATTCCAGGCAGGTCAGGGCGAAACCTTGGGCAAGTTTCCTTACTCCACACAGAGCCTAATAATAATCCCTCCAAAACCAAAAAACAATAATAAATTGGTCATTTTTAATCTACGACTGTTTGTGGGACATTGCTGTGCGCAATTGGCTGCCGCGTTCGCATATACAGTCAATTAACTTTACAGTATATTCTGTGAAGCGCTTTGGGTCGTCGAGAAGACGTGAAAAGCGCTATATCAAATGCAAGGATTATTATTAAAGCCCTAACAGATAACGTGGTCCGCCTGGACGAGCAGCGGGAAAGCTTACCAGGCAGAGCTCGCAATGGCAAGCCATGTGAGGTTAGCTGGTTACGACTCCAGCAGTTACCCCCAACGCGCATTCTGGGGGGTCCCCAGGCATGGGCTCTGGCCAAAAATTAGGCAAACAGGAAGCGTCCCTCCAGGGAGGGAGGGGGAGAGAGGGGGGGGGGGGGAGAGAGGGAAGGGGGGAGAGAGAGAAACGGAGGGAGAGAGGGAGGGGGGGGAGAGAGAGGGAGGGGGGGGGAGAGGAGGGGAGGGGGGGGAGGGGGGGGAGGGGGGAGGGGGGCCCCCACACACCACCACCCTCTCCACTGAAATGCCCGTCGGTACGGTTCAGATGCCATCGGTTGTCTCCTGTCTCAGGGACTGCCAGCACGAATGCCGGGTGTGCGGGGTAACAGTGGTTGGCCTATCGGCCTACGCCAAGCACATCTCCACCGCACTGCACAAGGAGAGCGCAGCAGCACCGGCCAAGGACAAGGACCCCGGCGACGGCAGGGAAGAACAGTACTTTGACAAGGAGCTCATCCAGCTGATCAGACAACGCAAGGAACCCAAGCGGTGAGTGAGCTACGGGCGTGGTCAGAGAGACCCCCTAAACCTTCACACATCTGCTGTGTGCCTTTGTCTGGTCTCTCTTCCCCCTGGGCTGGCAACAATAACTGACATTTGAATAGTGTATTTTACGTCAGGAGATGACCCAAGGCACTGGACAGTTAGAGATTCGCATTTGGGAAATCCATCTGCTTTGTTTCATGTACATCATGTACATTTGTACATCAGTCTCACCAGAGTGTACATATACCCCACCCCGTATCTACAATCATTAATAATTTGTGCATTTGATATGGCACTGTCATAGAATTTACTGTAAAGTGTAGTGACTATTTATCAGCAAACACCGCAGTTTATCTGTGCACAGCAGTGTCCCAGAAACAAGTGTGGAGTGAGTGATCAATTTTATTTTAAGGGATTGTTGGCCAGGACACCACGACAGAGACAGAAACTCCCTTTTTTTGAATAGTGCCACAGGATCTTTAACGTCCAACTGAAGCCTTGATTTAGCGTCTCATCTGAACTTTGGCACATCTGACAATGCAGCGCTCCCTCAGCAGTCCTGGAGTGAGGCATCAACCCAACGACCTTCTGACTTGGAGGCGACCGTGTGGGACAGAAAGATTATGCATGCAATGTAATCTTGGGAGGTGTGTGGGGAGACAGTCAGCCCTCTGTGATTTCCCCAACCAGAAAAGACAGTGAAGCTAGCAGTGAGGAGGCATTGCTGGCGAGGAGGACTTGTTGCAGTCTGCTATCAAAGCTAATTTTAGCTCAGCACTGCCCTTTGGTTTCCAGGCATTGACATGCTGTAGCAGCTGCAGCGGCCTCCTGTGTACATCTACAAGGAGGCCCGAGTTGTCACTCTGTACTATAATGGGGCACTGTTTCATTTCCTCATGGCGAGCCTCCCTTCTTCCCTCCCTCTCTCTCTCTTCTCCGCCTCCCCCCCCCCCCCAGCTTAGAATGAAATACACTATTGTTCAGCGCTCCGACACGATACCTCACTTGAAGGGTGTTGCATAAATGCAAGTTAGAGTTGTTTGTTTGGATGCTCAAAATCACTGCTTTGTTCATTCAGGGAAGATATTTCAACACCAGTTGATCGGGAAACGGATGGCGGAGACAGAAGGCACCGGTGGAGATGGGAAGAGAGACCGATCAATAACTACACCAAAGGGTCATGGCACCACAGCAACCTTGGAGACCAACAGTGGAACTGGGAGGGTGAAGACTACATGAACTGCAGACTTGGTGATTACCAGCGGAGTCACTGGAAATCCAACTCAGGAGCAACTGGCAAATGGCATCAGTCTGGGGCAAGAGGGGCTGGAGGCTGGCAAGCCCATGGGTCAGGAGGGGCACCAGATTGGTATGGCGTCAGAAGTGTCCGAGGAGGATTTCCAAACTGGCATGCTCGAGGCTGCTCCACCTGGCATTTCACCGCACAAGGAAGGGGTCGGAACTGGAGCGAGACCACAGCAGAGGAGACTTATCCCACCTACCCCAACACTGAAGAGAGCTACCCCACCTACCCCAAAACCTGGGCCAACTACAGCGGCCCTGCAGAGGAACCGGGTGCCCTGTGGAGCAACGGGAAGCCACGGAAGCTGAGCAAGAAGGATCGAGCCCGAATTGCCAAGGAGCGGAGGGCATGGGAGAAGATCTGGAAACGGAATGAGAAGCTGGGGAAGGGGGCGACCAAACAACAACAGGAATCAATGACCCAGTGGCCTGAGAGTGAGGGCCCACATAATTTCTCCATGGATTTCACCGATGATTACCTGCCCAATGAAGGGATGTTGAACTTTAATGTTGGAGACTGTTTTAGCAAAGAGGATCCGAGCGGTGGGAAGAGCTCCAGCCCTTCCAGAGACAAGAGCCACCGCTGGGCTCCTTACCAAGCTCCCAAAAGCACCGAGCCCCCAGCATCCACCAAGGACTCCAGCACGAAAGGGAAACATGGGGATTCGGACGCCACTCGTTGTCTGTCAATGAAGCAGAAAAATCTCAAGGGGCCTCATGAGGCAAATAAAGAGCTGGGTGTCTGCACAACTGCAGCTCCCCAACCCAGCAACCCACCCACCAAAGCAGGCACTAGGACTGAGTGCCAGACTGCCACTCAGTGTGCCAAGATCAGGCCGCCTCTGCTCCCTACACCTAACATCCCACCCATTGTCCTGAAAGCAGAGTGCAGGAACATTCCCAAAAAAGGCAACCCTTCATCCATCACCAAGGAGCAGACCCCCCTCAGCACACTGGACCTCGAAACGTCCCGTGGGTTGTCAGAACCAGAGGTCTCCGTGCACCGTCCCGACCATGCCACCAGCACACCGAGCTCTCAGCTCTCAGTGAGAGCCAGCACCAGCCCCATCGTGACACCGCACAAGCCCCTTCTTGCCCTGGGAGGAGAGGCTGAGGAGAGTCTGAGTGAAGTGCTCAGACGCGCTAAAGAGGTGCTGAGGTGCAGCCAGACGGAGCGCAGGCAGCAGGCAGAACAGATGGACGCCGCGAGGAGCCAACCCGACCAGCCAGTGGGCAGCCCCAGGCCAGCCTCGCAGGGCAGTGAGGAGAGCGGGAAAGAGAAAAGGTCGCAGCCTGGAGCCGCTGTGGACTGCAAAGAGGAAGAAACAAGTGAGAAAGAGCTTGTGGATTGTACGAGGACAGGGGAGGGGACCGTGGCAGGTGTGGACTCCGCAGGGTGTTTGGGCGAGGTGTTAGAGAGCTCAAACCCGGCAGCAGAGCAAGGGGCAGCGTCAGATCACGTGACATCCTCTAGACTCTCCCCAGGGGTCGTGGTGTCAAACAGGAGCCCGGGGGACGATGGGCATCCCCCCTCCCGCTCCTCGTTTTCCGGGGCGGAAATGAGTGATGGAGAGGCCCAGCACTGGGAGGCTTCCGATCACTCCGATTCTGAGCTGCCGCCCGGGGCCACCCAAGGCTCCAGCCACCTGCTGAACAAGCTGGGGCTGCCCAGCGCACTGCAGAGAGACCTG